CCCCATGTCCCCAGTCCACCGTGTCCCCAATCCCTCATATGCCCTGTGTGCCCAGTCCCCTGTGTGCCCCATGTCCCCGGTGACCCCCATCCCCCATGTCCCTAGTCTCCCGTGTGCCCAGTGTCCCCAATCCCCTGTGTGCCCAGTGACCCCACTCCCCCATGTCACCAGTCCCCCGTGTGCCCAGTGACCCCAGTTGCCCATATCCCCAGTCCCCTATGTCCTCGGTGACCCCGTGTCCCCGGGGTCCCTGGTGCCCAGTATACCTGCTGTCCCCAGTGCCAGCATCCCCAGCGCCAGCGTCCCCAGAGCTGCTGTCCCCCCATGCTGTTGGGGCGCCTGGCCGCCCGCGCCCCTCCCCACGGTGCCGTTCCCTCCGCAGGCCCCCGGGTGCGCGCTGCCGGCCTTCCCCGCTGCCGAGGAGGCCACTGCTGAGCTGGACACCCAGGCCATGGTACGGGCCCAGAACAAGAAGAAGAAGAAATCCGGAGGCTTCCAGTCCATGGGTACGTGTTGGGGGCTGGGGGTGGGGGACCCTTGGAAACGGGGCCGTGCCGAGTCTGCTCCGCGGGGCCCTGTCCTGCTTGTGTTGCTCCGTCACCTGCTAACCCCTGTCTTCTCCAGGCCTGAGCTACCCTGTCTTCAAGGGGATCATGAAGAAGGGCTACAAGGTGCCCACACCCATCCAGAGGAAGGTGAGCCCCCTCGGGGCATGGGGCACTGGACCGAGGGCCTCCGGGGCGATGGGTGCTGCCCACGTGGGGTGCCCGCTCCAGGCGGCGGTGCTGGGTGGTGAGGGCAGCGCCGCTGGGCTGTGTCTTGCAGACCATCCCGGTGATCCTCAACGGCAAGGACGTGGTGGCGATGGCACGGACGGGCAGCGGGAAGACGGCCTGTTTCCTCATCCCCATGTTTGAGAAGCTGAAGGCCCACAGTGCCCAGACGGGGGCCCGAGCCCTTGTCCTCTCGCCCACCCGCGAGCTGGCCCTGCAGACCATGAAGTTCACCAAGGAGGTACCGGGACGGAGGTGGTGCTGGCTGAGCTGGGATGGAGGGATGGAGGGCAGGGGAGGCAAGAGCTCGAGCGGTACCATTAACCTGTGGGGCTCCATGCTGCAGCAGATGATGTTGAATTATCACCAAAGGGTGAAGGACATCTTTATCTCTTAGTGCTGATGATGATGATCAAGCGCTGTCCTTTGCCGGGGGGATCTGTGCAGTGCCGGGATATGACTTGTGGCTGCCGTGCATGGCCAACCCCTTTCTTAGAGGTTCAAGCTAATCCACGAAGGGAGGAGGGAAGAGCAGGCAGAAGGAAAACACGTTGCGTTGGTGCCCTCATCACCTGCCTGCTCTGCTGCGTCCCCAGCCTTGGCAGCAGGGCTGTTTGCTGGCATTGGAAGGGAACAGCCTAGGGATTTGTTTTGAGGCCGAATCTGCTTGTAATTCTCCCGTGTTTCTCCCTTACCCTGCAGTTGGGCAAGTTCACAGGCTTGAAGACAGCCCTTGTCCTGGGAGGAGACAAGTAAGTCATCCCCAGTGCCCCTACCAGCGTTTCTGCCCTTCCCCTAAAGCCCAGGCAGCCCTCCTGAGGCTTTCTGCAGGCACTTGGCCTGTCCCAGCTTCCCTAAAATGTGCTGAGGGCTGCAAAAATCTGCCAGATGTTGGGACTGGGCATCACAGTGGCATCTGGAGCAGGGTTCCTGGGCTAGATGGTCTGAAGTTTCAGCTGGCCATCAAAAGAGCTACTCACTTGCTCACGCGTGAGATCTCAGGGCTGAGGAGTTCTCCTGTGCAGTGGGTCCCTCTCCACAGCCTCGAGCATGCAAAGTGTGGCCTGGAAGGATCTGGCCTTCGCCCCATGCCCTGGGCTGGCCCCCAGCTCTGCAGTCCCCATCGGCTTGCCCGGGGAGGCCTTGCGAAGGCAGGCGGGCTGAGCTGCCCCTCTGCCGCCTGGCCCCGTCTCAGGCTCTCTCCCCTCTCGCAGGATGGAGGACCAGTTTGCTGCGCTGCACGAGAACCCCGACATGTGAGTCTCTGGGGTATCTGGAAGGGTCTGCGCTTCCCTGCTGATGTGGCGAGGAAACGTGTGCTGACAGACGCTGGACGCGCATCGTGTTGGGGTGATCCTGGGACCAGCTGCTGGACCTGGAAAGGGTGCTGCCTCCCTGGGACCCCCATGATGTCCCTTGGGTTACCCACTACCCTGCTGCTGATGGCCTGGTGTGGCCCCAGCGGTCCTGACTCGAGCCCTGCGAGCTAGCTGGCCCTGCTCCTGGTGCCATCCAAACACAGGCTGAATTCTGCCCTTCTGGCTGTGCCACCCGGGGATTGGCATCATGAAGGAGGTCACTAGAGATGTCTCTGGCGTTTACAATCACATCCCATGGACATGTCCTAGGCTTTCTTCAGAGTGTCTTCCTGTGTTCCTTGCATGGAACCAGGGAGTTTCTGTCTGGTTGTCTTTGAGCCAGACTTGTGCTCTGGCACCTGGGAGGGAGGTGTCCCATCCTGCTTCCCCACGCTCGTCTCATGGCTGAGGTACGGACCGGCCGAGCATTGCGGTCTCTGTTCCTTGCAGAATCATCGCCACCCCGGGGCGCCTGATGCACGTGGCGGTGGAAATGAATCTGAAGCTGCAGAGTGTGGAGTACGTGGTGTTCGACGAGGCCGACAGGTCAGCGAGGGCCAGTGCCGGGGCAGAGCGGGGCCTGCTGGGCACTGCCTTTCCAGTAACGTGCTCGCTGGGATGAAAGTGGCTGGACTGTGGACTCGGGGGAGCTGTGTGCCCCATGTTTGGAGTGAGCAACGAGCCCTTGCAGGGGGTGGGAGACGCGGAGGGCAGGAGGTGTGCGGAAGGAATGAGGTGCCTTGGCTGGGTGGTGCTGGCAGGTGCCAGGAGGCAGGGCTGGGCATGGCAGGAGATGCCAGCGCTCTGATGTCCCGCGTTCCCTGTCCTGCAGGCTGTTCGAGATGGGCTTTGCAGAGCAGCTCCAGGAGATCATCGCTCGGCTCCCTGAGAGCCATCAGACGGTCCTCTTCTCGGCCACACTGCCTAAGCTGCTCGTGGAGTTTGCTCGAGCTGGTGAGGACCATGGGGAGGACAGTGACTGGAGGGGCTGGGGGCAGCCAGGTTAAAATTAGCTGTTAGAATCAGTGGCCCTACCCAGCTGGCAGTTCCCCACTGGGAGGTTGGGGACAGGGACGTGACGCACATGAGTCCATCCACAGATTGAGGACTGGGGAACCCGAGTTGGGTCGAAGCTGGGCCAGGTGGGTATCCCCAAGCCAAGGGATAGGGCTGGTCCCAGCAGCACATCGCAGTGTGTGACCACGTGCCATGTGTGACCCATGTCCTACAGGGCTCACGGAGCCGATGCTGATCCGCCTGGATGTGGAGTCCAAGCTCAGCGAGCAGCTCAAGGTGAGAGGGCCTGGGGAGCTCGAGATACAGGGGCTCGCCTCGTACATCTCTCTCTCTGGCATTAGGATACCCTACGCTCCCTGCAAGCCAGGGCTAGCGAAGGCAATATGGTGACAAGTAGGCTTGCTGGGACGGGATGATGATGTCTGGTGTGGAGTCCACCCTGCTGGCAGCTGGGCATGGCTGTGTGTCCTTCCCACCCCAAAGTGCTGTGGGCTGGCAAGCGGCTAGGGTGGCATGTGAGGACTCCCCGACTCCTCATGTAGGGTATAGACCTATGGAGGTTAAACATAAAAGATGGGTCAGAAAATTTAACACACTGGGGCTAGGATGTCATAGCTGTAAACCCACGGGGCTGAGAAGACCCCACCCCTAGTGGCATGACTCCTTGTACTTGGTGTTGCGTGAATGTAGTTAAAGCAGTGAGTGGGTGAAGGACCTGGTGAGAGGATGAGGTAGCTGGGGAGGTCCTCAAGAGCATGGGGTCCCAGCAGGTCAGGAGCTGGCTGCCTTGCCCTCTTGTTTGCAGCTGGCTTTCTTCCACGTACGTGGGGACAACAAACCGGCCGTGCTGCTCCACCTGCTCAGGAGCGTGGTGAAGCCCCAGGACCAGACGGTTGTCTTTGTGGCCACCAAGCACCACACAGAGTATCTCAAGGAGGCAAGTAGCGTTTGGAGGTACCCGGTGGGTTTGGAAGGTCAGGGTCTCAGAGTCCTGGGAGACCCTATCCCATGCCTGAGGGTGCTTGCCAGGGTGGGATCTGATCTCTCTTCCTCTCTCTCCAGTTGCTGACGGCCCAGGGCATCCACTGCACACACATCTACAGCTCACTGGACCAAACCGCCCGCAAGATCAACATCGCCAAGTTCTCCCAGGGCAAGTGCCCGGTGCTGCTGGTTACAGACGTGGCCGCCCGTGGGCTTGACATCCCCATGCTGGACAATGTCATCAACTACAGCTTCCCTGCCAAGGCTAAACTGTTCCTGCATCGCGTTGGTGGGTGTCAGTGCCCCTTGCAGCCTAGGCATCCCCTCAGGAGGATGGGGACACGGAGGGGTGCAGAGGGGCTGTTCCTTGTCTCATATTTTTAAGGCATCTTCCCCTGGGAACGTCCCCCTGGGAACGTCCTGGAGCAGCTGTTGGTCCCCCTGGCTTGGTGGCGGTATCTTTGGGGAAAGAGGATGTCATTTTGGGATGTTAGGGGACAGACTGGGGACAAATGGGGGGGCAGTAATGTCCTTGTTACCTGGGCTCTAACTATGGGGACTCCTCGGGGCAGGGCAGGAGCCTTCCCTTCATGGCACATGCACCATGGGCTCCCCTACCCACAGGGACTGGCTTGGGGCAGCTGCAGGGCGATGGCACCGCGATGGGCTCTTCTTTGCCCCCTTTCCCAGTAACCTACTGCCCTTTGCCAGCTGTGCCCACCCAGTAAACACCACAGGCCAGCCTATGGCTCTGGCACCCCAGGACACCAGCGGGTCCCTGGCAGGTTGAGCTGGCACCAGGTCTGGTTTCCCACTCTCCTCCTCCCCCTGCCAGGTCGCGTGGCCCGAGCTGGCCGGAGCGGCACTGCCTACTCACTGGTGGCTCCCGATGAGATGCCGTACGTCTTTGACCTGCACCTCTTCCTGGGACGCCCACTCGTCCTCGCTGGTGCTCAGGAGCTGCCCGCTGGTAAGGCAAACCAGGCACTGCCGTGTCCATCGTAGGCATCGGTGGCTTAGGGGGCGCAGCTTGTCGCAGCCACGCCAGAGTACAGGGATGCTGTACTCTGTGACCAGCGTACTCTGTACTCAGCGACCCTGTGGTCGCTGGGGTTTAACCTTGGCCGGCATTGGAGCTCATGGTCTTGTGGTTGGTATTGCTTCTGCTCTGTGCTGTCTCTTACAAGGCAGATCTCCTCTTGATACGGGGTGTAGCTGGGGAATACAGGGTGCCTGGGGCTCTGATACGCTCTGTGGGATGGGGACTGCGCCTGTTACCTCTGCTCCGTTTGATCCTGGGTTGCTGCCACACACGCTACAGCAATCCTAGGGTGGGTGGGAGAGAGACGACACAGCATTCTTGGGCTGCAGAAGCCGGTGGGGTCTTGGGCCGCGTCCCCCAGAGCCTGGTGGACGACGAGGAGTGCCTGCTGCTCACGGACCACGAGGGCTCCCTGGACCTGCGGAGCCTGCGCCGTGTCGCCGACAACGCCCACAAACAGTACGTGCGGTCCCGGCCTGGTCCCTCACCCGAGTCCATCAAGAGGGCAAAGGACCTGGACGTGTCCCAGCTGGGCATCCACCCACTCTTCAGTGAGTGCCTTGGGGGTGCCAAGGGAGGGGGCGTCCCGCCATCTTTGCGAAGGAGCTAACCTGTGCCCCTCTCTGCGCCCACGGCACCCAGGTGCTCGCTTCGAAGACACCGAACTGGAGAGGCTGAAGTTCGTGGATAGCATTAAAACCTACAAGTCGAAGGCGGTGAGTTGATGCCGTTCTGTGCCCAGCGCCAGCCTAGCCACTGCCCTCATGGGCAGCAGGAGGAAGGGGCACTCAGCCGGGCCTTGTGGTGGGGTGCAGGTCACTGGCACCACTGTGGGCACAACCCATACATGGGGGGTCATTGCCATGGTCCCAGGCCCTGCTGCCCCAGCTCCCAGGGTTAGGATGGGAACCAGAGGGAGAAGGAACCGGGTGGGAAGGTCCATCCATCCAGCTGCTCTCCCTGTCCCCTGCAGCTCCCAGGGGTTCACTCTCTTGCTTTCTCTCCCCACCCTGGGAGCAGACCATCTTCGAGATCAACGCAACGGCCCGGACATTGGCCAGCACCGTGATGCGGTCGAAGCGGCGCCGTGACCATGCCCTTATCGAGAAGTACCAGCGTGGGCAGCAGGAGAAGCGGGCAGCAACTCTCAAAGGGCAGGGGCTGTGCTCAGCCCTTGCTGCATCCGAGGAGAAGGCAGGAGAGGAGGAAGACCTCCAGGTAATGGGGCAGGGAAAGGGGACGTGCTGTGGAAGCTTCTGCCTGGCCAGCATCAGCTGGGTGCTGACTGGCCACGGGGTTGGGCTGTGGATTTAGGGCTGGCAAGGTGACTTCCAGGAGAGCCAGGCACCAGGGTCTGGCTAGCAGGGGGATGTGGCCCCTGTCACATGCTCTCTCAACCCCTCTGTCATCCCATTTCAGGACGTGTTCCCCACCGTGGTGGGCGGGAAGCGGAAACGGGGCGAGAAGGGAGAAGATGGTGCTAGGAAAAAGCTGCAGCAGCCGGCACAGCGGGACGAGGATTTCTACATCCCCTATCGGCCCAAGGACTTTGAGAGCGAGAGGGGGTGAGTCAAGGAAGGGCTCCCACAGCTCTCCTGCCCCAGCTGGTGGGAGGCACATGGAGCTGCTCTCATGCCTCTCCCCCTCCCCGTGCAGGCTGAGCGTGGGCGGCGAGGGCAGTGCCTTCGAGCAGCAGGCAGCCGGAGCCGTCCTGGATCTCATGGGTGATGAAAACCACAACCTCAACAAGAGCAAGCAACTGCTGAAGTGGTGAGCGGGGTCTGTCCGGGGAAGGGGGCGATCTAGGCGTCGGGGGGCTGGAGGATGAACTGCGGGTGGGTGGGTATTGCCCTCACCCTCAAGAGAGCTTCTCTTTCTGGGTATCTCCTCGGAGCAGCTAGAGCTGAGATGCCCAGGGAGGAGGATGGGGCAGGGGGTGCTCAGTAGCCCTATATTCAAGAGGCTCCCAGTCTCTCCCCAGTCCCACCCCCCTCCCCTCCTTCGCAGGGACCGCAAGAAGAAGCGGTTCGTGGGGCAAACGGGCCAGGAGGACAAGAAGAAAGTGCGGACAGAGAGCGGGCGCTACATCAGCAGCTCCTACAAGAACAACCTGTATCCTGCCTGCGGGGGCCTGCC